TGCCCACCCGAAAACACTGCACAACCACGACGCGTTTCAATGTAATTTCATCTCATCAGGTGGAGACAGCAAGCCTCGATCCCGCTACCATTGGAATAGTAACCCACACCACTACCCCTTTGGGTCGACTGAAGTGGTGCTGGTCAAAGCGTCTTCCTGATGCTTACTGGTAATTTTGCGGTGGTTCCCTTTTTAACTCTCACTGTTTTGCCCTTTTATTGTGGTCGTTTTACGATTGTATACGAGATTTAAATTCTGCTCTGTTCTCCACTTCAAAATGGTCGTCTTGCGAAAAACCGAGTAGAATGAACACCTTGCTTCTTCGTTTGATGAGTCAATTGCAGCTTGCAGCAACTCTGCCTGTTCAAGGCCAGTGACGGATTATTCTGGTGGTAAGCAGTGTGATGTTTGCTCTCGTTGTTATCACAAAAGTTGTACCGGCCTCGGAGCAAATCCGTACAACATGCTATCATCCGGTGAAAATCTTCTGTTTAGATGTGCTGATCGTTGCACTCAGAAAGCGAAGCTCCCGGCTTTCACCTGTGCTGAATTCAAAACACTAGCATCCAGATTCACAGTTGTTAAGAAGGCATTAGCCGAGCTTGCCACTGTTGCCTCGCTCAACTCTGAAGTGGATTTGATTATGAAATCCTTACATATTGCGAATGTGGACGCTGTAAAGGGCTTTCCTGCTGACAGTTTGACCGTTGACGAGGCGTTCATCCTCCCGGAAGCTCCAGTTCACGTGGATATAACTAACACAGATGCCTCGGACGGCAATGTTGACCCGCCCCAAATGGAAGGCGGGTTACGGGCTCCTGGGCCATTGAAGCATAAGCGTAAGCGGGCAAGGAAAACCCCAAACCCCTTGCCCCTAAACCGGAAGGTGATAAAGTGCTCAAGAAACAGGCACCTGTGTTGGAAACACCACCTGGTGTCGCACTTCCCTCAGTGAGATATGAGGCGCCGTCGCCTTCGGTCCAACCGATTCCTGTCAAACAACCGTGTCGCGTTAATGGTAGAGCATTCGGTGTAAATACACCTGGTCGGGGCCATTCTTACACAGATAGCAGTGTGAATTTCAGAAACGTCGCTGAATCCACTGCCGCTCTTCACACCGAGCGCATTCTTGATGATCTTGGTTGGCTTAAAGTTTTCGTGACCAGGCTTTTACCACCAGGTTTCCCTGCCGTTACTGTCAGGAAGCTCATCAGATTGGGAAACGTTCCGGTTGGTCAACGAAATCCTCCACACCGTCTGCTTACGGTGGTCCTCTCCACCCCAGGAGAGCGCTTGGCCTTACCGCGATTTGCCTTCAAGCTTAAAAGGTACCACGGTTAGTATGCAACCAGAACTTCCGTTAGCGGATAGGTTAATATTATAGGAAGCCATCAGAGACCTATAAGCCCGGCGTGCAGCTGGCGAGTAAGGTCTCCGATTGGTGGGTTTTCAGGTGGTCAGCCGGCAGTCCTATTCCGCCCTGCCAGAACCAATACTACTGGTGCTCGACCCAGGGCTGGTCGTGCCGGAGCCCTCCAAGTAGTGTTTATTAGCGTGCGTAGCCTGAGAAACAAGATGTGCGAGGTGGGTCTGCTCGTAGACAAATCTCGTCCAGCTATAATTGCTGCACTGCGACGTGGCTGTCTGAGAAATCACAGTTGGCGAAGTATGTCTGCCTGGCCACGCATTGTTCCGCGCTGACCGCTCCATTGTTCGTCGAGGAGGGTGCCGCTCTTTATGTGCTTTCTCACATCGAACTATTGAAGACCTGCAATTTTCAGACTCCCGACAAATCTGTTGAGGCACTCGCAGCATTGATTTGCACACCCTCGGTTCAGGTTACGGTCGTGTTAATGTAAAGAAGCCCTATGAGCAACTCCAATGGAATCAATGAGTTTATTACCCCTCACTCTGCGAACAAGTGTCTGGTGCTGGGATACTCCAACCTCCCAGTGGTTTGTTGGGATGATCTATCTGGCAGATCGGCTCTGGGTCTTTCGTAGAGAACTGCTGGACTTAATGCTGTAGGTACCACTACACCAGTTCTTGGACCTTCCCAATAGATACATGAGCAATCAGCAGCCGTCCATTTTAGATCTTGTCTTTGCTAAGTCACTTGACTTGGTAGATGACATTGCTTACGACTCGCCTCTTGGCGCCAGCGATCACGTTTGCTTGTCTTTCCAGTGTATTACCAGGCCTTGCCAAGCTACCACCAGTTGTTATCCGAATAGTTGGACCGCGGACTACCAAGCGATGCGGGATAAAGCTAGGTCGTCGCCTTGTGTGACATCTGAGACCGATCCTGTTCATATAGCCTGGGAAAAGCTTAAAGCTCACCGCATTGACCTCTGCACCTCACATCACACTGGTAAAAAGAAGGGAATCGAGAGCGTAGCCTCCGTCCATAGATTTCCCGGGGAAGGGCCTGCTAAAAAAGCGGTCTAAATGTTGGCAAGCGTATCAAAAAGCTAGGTCGACCATACGTTTGACAACTATCGGTTGATTCAAAATGAGTGCTGGCTACATCTTAGGTTGGCCAGGCTTCTGTATGAAAAGGGCTTAAGCTGATACTGACTCAAAAATTCCAAGAAATGCTTCGCTTAGGTTAAACGACGCAGTGGTGAAAATTCGCCAATACCACCAATGCTTTAAGAACCTGCCTATAGCGACTATGACAAGGCGTGCGTGCTTGCTGAGCAGTACTCAAGCGTCTCTGTCCAGATGAAATTCCTGTAACCCAGCCTCAACCTCTGCGGTCGCCAAGAGAGGCAAACCCAACTAAGGCTTCCGGTCCAAATCTTGTTCATCCAAAATTGTTGCACGAATTGGCAATGGAACTCAGTGGACTCTGACTTGTGTTTTTCAGAAGTCACTCAACAGCTGTGTCTTACCTACCGAATGGAAGGAGGCTGTTGTCCGCCCGATTTCCAAGTAGGGTGACAAAATCTTACCGGCTAGTTACAGGCCTGTCAGCTTGACAAGCATGATAGTTAAGGTACTTGAAAAATTAATACTGGATATACCGGAGAACCATTGTAACATGTTCAACCTGGTTAGCGTATAGCAACATGATTTCCGCAAAGGCGTTTCGTGTCAAACGAACCTGCTGTTTGATCGTGTAGGCTGGGCCGTAGCCGTAGACAGTGGATATGCCGTGGATGTGGTGTTCATTGACTTCGCCAAAGTCATTGACATTGTCCACCATTCGCGACTATCACGGAAGTTGACATCGTTTTGGCATATTTTGTACCCCTCTCTAGTGGGTGTCAGCTTTTCTGGATGGACGGGAACAGTGTATTCGTGTGGCAAGCAGTCTTTCTTTTCGACAAGCAGTCCTATCAGCGGTCCGCAGGGCTATCTCCCATGTCCACTGCTGTGCTCAGTCAACCTGAATGACTTGCCGACGTAGCTTGTGGTATCATCGCTCTTATGTGCTGATGACCTATATCTCTGGAATATTGTTGATATCCCTGGAGGTAATGGGGCTCGTTAACGGGCTCTGGATCCCATTGGATATGGTATACCTTGTGGTTGGTGCCCATAAACCTGGCGGTGTTCAGTGCTGCGTATCGAGCGCCCGATTCCTCCACAAAGTATGTGCTCGATGGGAGTGAACTTCCTCACATGACTCATCAGGTTGATTTAGCACTCGTCCACTGTTCCACACTACACTCTAGAAACAACTGGAAGAAGGCGGCTAGTGAAGGGTTCTGGAGTTTGTGGTTTATCCGTCGTTCTTTCGAGACCCAAACCGCTTATGTGCTTGTGAAGCTATTCTCAGCGTTTGTGTGACCCCACCTAGAATGTTGCGTCCATGCCTGTCCACCAGGCCTTGTCCGGGACAAAATTGCATTAGAAAGGGTGTTATGTGTCAGTACTAGTTTGGTCAAGGGCTTACGAGGACAAACGTAGTCCGAACGCCTACTTAGTTTGTGGATGCATTCCATGCACTATCGAAGGATTAGAGGGGACCTTATTCTAACCTACCGTATTTTGACTGGAAAGGTTGGCCCTGACGTTTCCTGGCTAATTAGTCCTGATAGATTACCTGGTCTGCGCGGTCAATATATGAAGACGCGGCCCGATGGATTTACAGCGGAGACACGGTTGTCGCGTCGAGACATCGGGCACCGGAACTTGCTTTCCGAAAATGTCAAGGAAGCTACGGTAAAGGAGATTGAGCGTCAACCGTAAGCTCTTGGGTGCCGATACGAAACATTTGCTTTCTACTGACTAATTTACATCTTCATATTTGGATGCTATTTTCTGTGTTTTTCCTCACCATTGGTATTATTCTCCTCTTTCATTGAATTCCCTTACATTTTCGGGTTTTCTTCCTCTCTTACTTTCTTCGCGTAACTGACAGCAGCTACAGTTAATGTAAGGAAATTGAGCATTACATTGATGGAGCAGGCTGTCTTTTCGGGTGTTTTTGCTTTAGACCCAGCAAGAAGTCGGAGCACCCGTAGGAATTCCTGGATCAACGACCAGCTCAAGAAGTAACACTTACGGAATTCATCCCATCGGTCCAGTATCACTTGTACTTAAAGAGGTCGATTGCCTATGCTTCCTGTTATACTAACCGTCCTATTCCACTCCGGCACTTTCCCTTCCCTCTTCCGTGATACTTTATCTGCCTGCTTTACTTCGGCCTCATATTAGGCGGTTGAACATCCAGCCGTCTACGAGGTATTTTTGCATTGCAGCTTGTCCCACCACCTTTTCAAGGAAGAACTCGGAACCCCGGACCGAAAGAATGGCTCACTATCCGAAGTTAGAAAATTTTAATAAGAAAGCATTACTATAACGGGTCGATACTTAATAGGCTTTAATTCTCCGAATCAGTACAAATGTCAATAAATCCCACTTTGTTGAACATTTCTACTTCGCTTAGTTCGCAAGTGTTTGTTGGTTATAATAATAAGATAATGTTTCTTGTAACGTGTTCCTGGACAACAATATTTCGGATCAACGGTAGACCAATAACTGAAACTCACTCGCGCGTATACAGAGATGGAAAGTCGCACGCACCGTCCTATCCGCCACTTGCAAATAATGTTCTCTCGGCAGTGTGAGTCCGGTACACACGGTTGTAGGTGGTAGGTGATAAATTATAAGCCAAAGAACCCATAGTATTGTTTATTAATAATGTAGGATGCCTTTTGAAATACACACCGCGGAATTCCTTAAACTGCTTTTTTATATCCGTTTTCTTTTTAACAACTCACTTACCGTTATATTTCAACTTTTCCACTTTAATTCAACTTTGTAAATTGGGAATGGTACATATCAGTTTTTGGATGTTTGGAGGTATTGACTTCTTTACAAAAACGTTGCGCAAGAAGTTTACCCAAGAAAACCCTTAGCTTTTGAGAACGCAGAAACCGGTTGTCCTAATGAACAACATCCCGCATTGAAGATCGCGCCAGTGGCGGCTAGCACGGTCCCAAAGTCGCAATCAAAAGCATTCCGGTGGCTGCGCTTATTCGCAGCACCGTTACCCCGCCAAAGACCTTGCGCAACAAATAGTTCGTGTCATTTTATAACATGATTTTCGGCGATCATTATGACTTTGAAGTTTTATTCAAATCCGTGCGATTGTGATATTGCTTTTGTTTCAATTTTTCAGAAGCCTGCTGCGCGCAGTTACCCCGGAAATCTAGTGCGCAACAAGTGCTTTATTGTCAATTTACGGCATTATTCCCGGCTATCTTTCTGCCTTTGCAGTTTTATTTTAATCGGTGCAAATGTGTTGTGGTAATTTTTTGAATGTATCTGAAAGCAGATACGCGGTACGAACCGCATTTTTGAATCCGTACGCCATGGAATCTGATTTTTGGAGAATCTTCCTTGGGCGTTCTTTTGAGAATTTTGACAAGTTTAAAAGTTTGTTTTCAGACTTTGTGCTTCTTCATTACGTCACTTTCGTATGCTAAAGCAGCTAAGTGCTAAAGCAGAAAGTGTAACCTGTGACGGGTGAAGTACGACAGGCTGATTTATCGATGTGTCCGCTGCGCACGTCGGAAGTCAAAAATACAGGAGTGAGACGTGTTTAGTAGGATTTTGCTTATATATTCTAAATCTTTCAGCTCACGTGATACTAACTGCCAAGCTCGCGGTAACCTCATTAGAACGGGATGCAAGCTGAAACCCACAACCATCGAGCTAGCTCACAATCACCCAGTTAATCGCCTTCTTTTTGAGCGACACCCTAGCAACCGCCGTCTGACGCACGATGAGTTCACTCTGTCCGTGGACCTTTTCCGCTACAACACCCCAACAAGCGACATCAAGCAGTTCGTCGAGGTGCGATTCGGAAAGCATATAACCAGCGATCGTTCCGCAATGTTCGTCGTAAACTGAGACCTGGCGTTGAGTGTAAACTTATTTTGATAGTTTTACTTCCTGCGTTAAATTTGTATCAGGTTATCAAGTCAATGGAAGAAGACAGAGTTGCGCGAATTATACGCTCGGCAGCAACAAATAGAACTGTTCCGCCGATGCTCGCATGTTGCTTGTGTAGACGTTACTCATGTTACTAACCGTTTGAAGTAAGAATTGATAGCGGCCCTGTTGTTTGCAGCTTCAAACTATACCAGTTTTTAATAACTGACGGCATGGGGTACGGCCGGCCAATATTTTATGCGGTTCTGCGTCGGGAGGATTACACTCCATTGCTTACGTTATTCGAAGCGTTTCAGGATATCATGGGTCATGATATTCCCGTCCGCACAATAATGATGGACAAAATGGCTGCTCAAATACGTGCGGCGCGCGCGGTTTTCCAACGCAACATTTTGTTGTGTTACTTCCACATCCGCCAAGCCATCAGGAAGCATGTAAGTGATAAATCTTCGTTACATTCTGTAGACAAACATTAACCGGTCGCGTTATCTGTTTCATCGCATAGCAACTTCGGACGCGGAGACTGAGTACAATCTCTTTCCTTATGTAATATTCTTGTTTTAGATTTCAACAACATTTGAAGCTCCTGCAAATAACAGACCCACGGTTTGTGGGCTATATTACGTAGTACTGGTTGTACATATAACCCTCGCGGGCGAAACACGCCCAAGCTGGACTGGTGCATTTTGTCAACACAACGAAACACCGGGTTGAGAATGCCAACTTGCGATTGAAGAAAGTTACCCATGCGTCGGATGGCCTTGTCGCAGCCGTTTGCAAAGTCTGGGCGCATTCGGAAGTTCTCCTGAAAGAGTCCCAGATGCATGCCGCATTTATATGTGACAGGCGTCAGCTACTAGAGGGCAGCGCATACGTTCATCGCGTAGGTTGCCTCTTTACTAAGTACGCATGCAACTTAGTGATGCGACATTTAGCACAACTCGGACCTTGGAGATGGAGTGCCATGTGAATAAAAATTGCTGACGCTTCCGTATTTTGAGATATCGCACCAGGGAAACCGCTTCACCATCGATTGCTCCTTGGGAACATGTACCTGTACTTTTTACGAAACCATGTAGCTTCCGTTTGTGCATTTAATGACGGCATACAAGCAGCACGCTTACCCGACAAGTAAGCCGTTTCTGATATGTGCATCCCTTTACAGGCCAAATACCTATTTGCGTCCGCTGACTGGCGGACTACAACCTACCCACAGAGTCCACGCCGTTGCGGACGTTGAAAGTCCCCGTTACCAAAACCATCTACGTCTAAAATTGCACAACTTGTACATCGTCTGAGATGTGCTGATGAGGTTAATCCATCCGGAGTTTCGGAACTGTAGCAAGAGCTATTGCGAAGGACTAACGAAGTAATTGGTGATTCATCAGACTTTCATCTTGCAAAGACACAACCGCGTTGGCCGAAAATTATGGCGCCCACAGGTTCGTATTCCACATGCAACAAGCCCGTTGTGGTTGATGCAGTTCGCTGTGCAAACATTCGGTTACATCACCATCGAAAGTGTTTGCGTGTGCAATCAGGAGCCCGTTGTACAATTTGTATCAACGCTTCACAAACGGTGTCTGTGTTCATGATGGCAGTGTAATGCGGTATTGCCGGTAAGAAAGCAACTTTTTAATTCGATATTTAGCTGTTGGCCGTTTACCCTCACCGGATTTCACAGTTGCCTCTACCCCAGCAACCTGCCCTGCTTACGAAGGTAAGCGACAGATTAGTATAACGCTTTCCTGTGCAGGCAGTCAGGAGGAGATTACCGCCGATCCGAATACAAGTCAACAAATCGTACCTCATATTGCACGTGCACTTGGTACTGGTGATCATTTTCCTTACCGTTCATCGATAGGTTGTCGAAAGGGAGCCGTGGAGTTCCCTTCAAGCATAGGTATTGCGCAGAATAGTGTGCCAAAGTAAGCTATTCGGTGCAATTTAAACTTTCATTTTCACTTCATTGTAACGTCGACATGGATGCCAGCCTAGTAATGAAAACGCAAAGAAGGAAAAACTTTGTTCAGCTAAAAACTCATTCAATTACCCGATAGTAGGCTATATGTTCTCACTACTATTATATTTTAGCTGATGAATACGACGTTCTGTAATGATACCCTGCATGGGACATGCGCGTCCAAGGCACGAATATAGTGAACAACGCTGAACCTTCTCTCGCTGCCTTTTGTTAAACACAATACACAATTTTTATATAGGTTTCTGCGCTCATTCGGGATTACAGCACGCATGCTGCCAGTGTAATAGGACCCAGGTGGGTTGTAATAGCATACGGATCGAAGTCCCGTGCTCGTTGTATATAGGCTCCATCAGTGGCACATCTGGTGCCACTGTAATAGGACACAAGTGGGTTTTAATGGCGCGCCGCTCTATGTCTCGTGCTCGTTGTATATAGGCTCCAACAGTGGCACATTTTGTGTCAACCTAGTAGGACCCAGTTGGGTGGTAATAGCATACGGCTCGAAGTCTCGTGCTTGTTGTTTATAGACTTCATCGGTGGCACATTTGGTGCCGATGTAATAGGACACAAGTGGGTTGTAATAGCACACCGCTCAAAGACTCGTGCTCGTTGTACATAGGCTCATACAGTGGCACGTTTTGTGCCGATGTACTAGGACCCAAGTGCGTTGTAATATCATTTGACTCCGAGGGTTGTGCTTGTAGTATACAGGCTCCTACAGTAGCGCACTCAAGATAATGCTGTGGTGGCATCAGATAATGCATACGGTTGGTTGAAAGTCATCCTAATTAAGTTTCGTTTGGACGAGAATGGGTGATTAAAAACCAATTTAGGGTTTGGATTTACGGCTACTGCATTGTATAATTATGATTAATATGTGGGTTTCCGCTTCAGGTTTACGATACTTTTACCATGAACCTTTTGTTGCTGAAATTCAAGGGCGTTGAAAGATATACTGCGTGACTAAACGGTCGTCCATAATGCGTACATTTGCACTGCTGAGGGCCAAAAGTCTAGTCATTTATGGAGTTACAACACTCACAAGACGGCACATGCTTTCGCTGCTCCCGCTAAAGAGACGCATATTCCGTCAACGTTACGCGGTAGCCGAGTACAGACTGGTAAGTACGTACTACCGGAGTGACGAATTATCCGGCACTCATGGCGCGCCAAAACTCACTTGCGCTGACAGAAAGTACGATAAGAAAGAAGGATTAAAAGCACTAAACAGCGCCGATAATAATTTAGGGCATTAGTTAAAAATATCCATGAACATATAGACATTTATCTTCATCTCTTTTGCATCTCCGCGAGTGGCCAAAAGCACGCTTCAGTGGGAGGGCTCGCTGTACATACGTTTAGATAAAATGATAATTCCTAATTACAACAACGCTGCATAAATTTCCTATGATTTTAAAACTCTTCGCTGTTAAAGAAGCCACTTAATTATGTCTGCTATGATGTATCCACTGCTACGAAACTCACAAAACCCAAATGTTACTTATTTTGTTACATTAATAATGCGTTTCACATTAAAATTCCGAGGCTAAATATATCGGCACAATAGGGGACTAATTAAATAGTCCAGGAGTAAACTAATAGTGGACGGCAGGGATTTTTAATAAATGGGCTCAGAAATGGCAAGCTTATCTTTTATACATTGTAGTGATTATTTTCTACGTCAGTTACCAATAT